TTGGTGAACTCTATTATTTGTGATGTCTTGTCAGTATTTGCTTTTGAAGTTTGAATTCTGATTATTTTGATCCTGTTTCATGTGTATAAGTACTCATAGAAGAGTAGACACAGGTGTGGTATATGATTTCCAACCCGCAAATCATTCTGTTTATTCTTCCCTTTAGGGCTAGCCATGTTCCAGGGGCTCATGCTCTGAGTATCCTCAGAAGTGATGGATAGAAATGCATTAAGAAATGAATTAAGCCCTGGTAAGTTTCATCATTCTTGTTACTGATTTTTTTTTAATTTATTTTATTTATTTAATTAATTAATTTATTTGACAGGCAGAGTGGACAGTGAGAGAGAGATACAGAGAGAAAGGTCTTCCTTTTGCCATTGGTTCACCCTCCAATGGTCGCCACGGCTGGCACGCTGTGGCCGGCACATCACGCTGATCAGAAGCCAGGAGCCAGGTGCTTCTCCTGGTCTCCCATGTGGGTGCAGGGCCCAAGGACTTGGGCCATCCTCCACTGCACTCTCGGGCCACAGCAGAGAGCTGGCCTGGAAGAGGGGCAACTGGGACAGAATCCAGCGCCCCGACCAGGACTAGAATCCAATGTGCCGGCGCTGCAGGTGGAGGATTAGCCTATTGAGCCATGGCGCCAGCTCTTGTTACTGATTTTAATGTTACTTTTGCATGGAGGATGAAAAGGAATTTTGCATAGCAATAAAAACATTGGTTAACTTGAACCAGGCTCACTCAGTTTTTTTTTTTTTTTACTTTCTTTGTAAATGCAGAGGATTAAAATCTCTGCACTTTGTTATAAAGCTCTAAGGCACACACAAATCACCTGGGGATCTTGATAGAGTGCAGAGTTAGATTTAGTAGGTCAGTGATAAGAGTTAGGCTGAGATCTTGCATCTCACACATTCTAAGGATATGCTAATGCAGGCCATTGGACTCTAAGAGACTAGGCCATACAGGGCTAGTGAAGTATCACATCGCTTGTGCGTCACTGTTTCCATTTATATTTTCTTCTTTCTCAACCAACTGCATCTCCCTTACCCCTCACTTTCTATTTCCTCCTAGTGCTTCTGCCTGATATATTTAGTATTATTACCTCAAATTTATCTGGATGAACACTTCTTCCCGATTTATACTTTTTCATAACAGGGCATATAGATCCCATATAACCATCAGTGATAACTTGGAGACCCTCACTCAGTGAGCTGGGACTCAGCTCAGCTCACTGTGTGTCACTGATACTCTGTGAGTCTTGAGTAGTGATTACTATTGAGCTTCTTCCTCTGAGTGTTACTGGCTTTTCAAGCAGCTGAACCTTCTGACCTTTCTCTCAACAACTCTTGTTTTTAACGCTTTTCTCTTTACTGCTGATTCTCAAGATTCTAGAAAAATTATAAGTGATGGTACTTTCTTACAGAGGTACCCCAGTTCATTAAGGTAAGAATAGAGAATGTATATCTATTAAAACATTATATTCTACATCCACACCCACAGTATGTGCCACTATCACATGTTTACGAAAAAGCTTAAAAATATTTAAGGAAGTTGAAATGCTAACAAACCCCATTTGTTCATTACACATTGAATGCATATACTATCACACTGTATCCCATAAAAAATGCACAATAAAAAAGGTGTGGAGAATGATGAAGGGGAAAAATTTACCATTTGTACAGATGGAAATACAAACATCTAGGAATATAAATGTGTTACATACTCTTACAGTGTAACAAAGCAAAGCACACAGAATTAAAATATAGTGGAAAAAACTTACTGATGGGTCCCACAGCACCAGCTAAAATACAAAGACAAAAGTAAGAACTGAGAGAGCATAATTCAAGGATGTTCATTTTTAGGTAATTTCAGAAAAAGTATTTACTGCATATTATATTTTCATGGAAAGGCAAAAAAAGTTAAGTCTGTATTCTTATTTTTGCTTAAGAGACTGATAAGGTCGTATGCCTTTCAGTTGTTTTTCTGTTTCTCAAATTTTGCTATCTTAATTCTGTCAAATCCTTCTATAAGTTTAGTTCTGATAAATCACTCCATTGATCCCCAGGACTTTTCTTATACCTTTAAGTTAATTCAGTTCTTATTAGCAGAGTTTCCACTTTGTTAAATAAAAAAATGAGTTACTTTAGAGGATCTGGAAACCTATTTTAATACATTACACTGATAAAGGGAGAACATTAAAGCAGCCAGTTGTTCTCCTTTCCTTAATTCATTTTCATTTCCTCTTCATCACCTTCCCCAATGCTCTAACAGTGGCCACTGTGTAGAAAAGTCAAAGAGAAGAACTGAGTTGTAAATATGGGAAACTTACACAGAGGTTCTTGAGCTGCTCTTATACACTTTGTATGACCTATAATAAAAATTTGGCAGTTATCATCTTATGATTTAGACTTTGAGAAGCCATGAAATGTACATAATCCTATTCCCTCCTCCCAGCTGTGAGGTACAAATAACTTCCTGTTTGCTCTTCTGAAATTATATAACTTTGGGCAAGTCACTAAATCTTCTGAACAGGAATTTCCTCATTTTTATCATGGAAATTGTATCATTTGTCACACTATACGGTACAGTAAAAAATCAGCAGTAATAACAGATGGAAAAGTTGAAAAATTCTGTTAGAAATGTTATATGGAGAAATATTCAGTGATTATAACTAAAAACTTTATGAAAGTATTCATTTTTTAACTTTCAGAGTGGAGAGGCAAATAAAAACCAAAATTAAAAGACTTAGCCAAAAATAAACTACATCTGCAGGTGACATTGGGGCAACAATGACTAATTTGGTAGCTCTATGTACTTTGAGAGAGGAAGGATTCTAAGTGGATATCATATATACTTTAAAGTACAACAGTGCCATGTGAGATCAGCATCAGATGGACTGTGGCCTGAGTTAGACACATTTGGTTGGATCACATCTAATTAAAAACAATAATTTAGCCAGTCTTAAAAGGACAAATATCATGTTTTCTCTGATATGTGGCCGTTAATATAGAATACAAAAATGTATAGGAATGAAATGGACATTTTGTAATATAATTATTGATTTTATCCCTTGTTTATATTCCTGTGGAACTGTGTTCTTACTACCTTTTGCTTGTTGAATATTATGGTTAGTGGTGAATTGAGACTGTAAACATAGAGTGGATTAAAATTATGTCTTTACAACAACTGATGAAAGGAAGAGAGTGGAGAGAGGGAGGGGGATTGGGAGGAGAGGAGTAGGAGGGAAGTATGGTTGTCTTCTTGGAACTGTACTTATGGACTGCATGAAATCTGTTCTTTTTATATTAATAAAAATAAAATACTATGATTAATAAACTTATTCAACACTTGGAAGTTATGATACATTTGAGAGAGAATTATGATCTAATTTGTTCCATCTTTAACAAGAAACAGTTTTATTAGAAGGAAATATGACCATAGTTTGTAACCAAAAATGTAATATTCAATATGAAAAAATTTCCCAAAAGCAGTAGCTCTGGGAAAAAAGGACTGTCCAACCAAGATTATCTGTTTCTGGTTTATCCCTAATTTCCTCATTTTACTGTACTACCTTTAGATCTTTCCTTCAGTTAGAAAATGTATTGTTTGTTTGACAGTCAGTTGAAATCAATTCCAGGAGATTTATTTGAACTTTACAATCCTAGTTTTTTCTCCTTTTCCATTAGTTTCTTCCAGTTTCCTCATTTCTTTGTTCTTCTATCTTTTTTATTAGTTTTCAACTGGCTGATGAGATTATCCATAGTTATGTAACCACTTAAAAATTTATGAAAGATTGAGTAACTAGCATATGTTTAAATAACTTCTAAGTACAGAGTGGCATCCTGGCTCTAGAGCTTGCATGCTTTACTGCTAGGAAATGGTTATCTGTATTTTTAAAATACTTTAATCAGCAACTGAATTTATTTTAAAAGTGCTAGGAGGCCTTATTCCTTCTTATACTACCCTTAGTTCATGGAAGAATAGTGTGTAGTTCAGCTAAGAGGTGAGCAATAACTTTTTTTCCAAGCCCATAGCTTGGAAGAACTAGTACAGATAGGATCCTTTTGGGATGGAAGAGAATCAGACCTGTTCCATACCTTAAGGAAAACAAGTTAAAGGATGGAAAAAATGTAAAGATAGAAAAGAGAGATGCTATGACTGCTGAAGATGTAAGGTAGGGTGAGAATATGTAGCCAAAGGCGAGTAGAAGAATTTCCTTAAGCACGGAAGGGTGTCTAACAGACTTATAGAGGAAGAAAATGATAAAGTTGGGAAAAGTGTAGAAGATGACTAATGAAGAACAAGATAAGGGAGTCAGGAGCCTCAAGTTCTGTCACTTATACATAGCAAGAAACAGATATGACAGGCAGAGGTCTTCTGCCTTGGGTAGGAGCCCAACAATTCCATATTTTGAAACAAGAATAAAAACTTACTCACGGATCCTTGAGGTAAAGCTAAAGAACAATAACAGACATTCAAATCAGTCTATATTTGGTGGTTTAAATAATATATCCATTTTCTATATTTTTTCCAGAAATTGTGTATTCAGAATATATTAGATTCTCCATCCTCCAGTAGGCACATGACCTTTCCACATTTACAAATGAGATCATCTTCTTCCTCTTTGGACATTATCCAGGAGTGAAGGCTTCTACGAGTCCAGGTTTACTAGATATTCCCACTTCATTCATCACCTTTTCCTTTTCTCCTCTATTTCTCTCTCATTTCTTTCTTTATCTTTCCAGTTTGGAGAGTCTGCTCTCCATAATAGCTTCACAACCCAAAGAAAGGCAATATAAGAAAGACCGAGAGAGAAAATGGCTGTGCCTGCATATGTAAAAAGGTATACAATTTTTGGCTCAAATCTTCCTGACTATAAATTCAGTGAACTTTGCTCCATACTCATCACATTTTCTCCTCTTTCTGGAATGTTTCACTAAAAAGTGATTTAATTTCAGTGGTACTAATTTCAATAGTAACAGCAATTGTACGAACTAACATAGTTGCAACTCCCCACTATTTTCAGTGGAGAAAGTTTGAGCATTTGTGTTACTTACATTGGCTCCTAAATGGCTACATGAAGTTCATTCATTCTCATCCTCCATTGGGATTATCTTTAATGTCCAAAAGGGATAGAATTTAATAATTTTAGCTCAAGTTTTAATGACACAATGAGTATAAATTAAAAACTGATGCCTGTGTTCTTGGTTCTTTCAGCTTGAAGTCACAAAAAGTAGGATAAGGTTTGCTAAGAAGGCAAAAAACTGACACTCTAGAATTAAGGCCTGTGTAGAAAGAGGCAACCAGAGAAGACAAAGTCTCTAGACACCGAGGGTTCATGGTGGAGAAACAACTGGAAATTTCTTTAGTTCCCTTGTGAACTGTGCTAACTGGGCACACTCACACACTCAAGATTCATTAAAGTCAGCTGCTTAAAAGCATCCAGGTTAATCCCCTTTTGATGAGAAACATCAGAGAGAAGCCCTCGCACTCCTCCCCCCATGGGTCATCAAATCCTCTGTGCCAGCTGCAGTGTGGGTTGGTCATATATTACATAAGTATCTTATGCACGTCCCTGAGACTCTCATGGGGCTGCCACCTTTTTATCAGTCAAATGTCAGTTGAAATATCTCCTCAGAGAGATTTCTTCTCATCTCTTATAAAAGGAAAGACCCCTAAAGACTAATCTAAAGACTCCTATAGAGTCCCACGCCAAGGTCTTGCTCTATCACATTATCCTAATTTATCTTTTCCATAGAATTTATTTTGGACATTATTTTGTTGTTTGTTTACAGCTTTTTTTCTGTCTTACCTCACTAGAATCTATGCTGTTTATGAATCAGGGACAATGTCTTGTTCACACAACAAATAGAAAATCAGTTATCTAACAAATATAACTGATTTTGTCAATATTTTCTTCCTTCCTTCCGACTTTTATATATTTTCTCCTACCTGTTTTTTCCCTATCAGCTTGTAAACCTCATCTCTTTTTCTGATAAATGAAAACATGCATAATTATTGCAGCCAGAACTAGAAAGTGTCAGAGTTTTAAGGAATTTATGAAATGACTATGTTTAATTTTTAAATTTTACATACGAAAAAACTAAACACATGTCTTGTCTAAGTACAAAATAAGTCAGAAGCAGACCTGGGACTATCTCTGTCATCTGTTTAGTAGTACAGTTAACTTTTTCTTCTGCTACAAAATTTCTTATCCTTATTATTTTTAATATCCCTCTAGTTTTCAGTTTATGTTTTTTGTTGTGATAAATAATATTTATCATCTAACTATTGTACAGTGTACAGTGGCATTATATACATTCACATTGTTGTTAAGTCTTATGGTATAAATGGGGGATAAATTTAATTTCCAGGTAAACCTTAAATTACTTGCTATTGGTTTAGCCATATCAGTTGCAATTCATTGAGCTATTTTCCTTCTAAATGACTTTTTTTTTTTTGACAGGCAGAGTGGACAGAGAGAGAGAGGCAGAGAGAAAGGTCTTCCTTTTGTCCTTGGTTCACCCTCCAATGGCCAGCGTGGCTGGTGCGCTGCGGCCGGTGCACCGTGCTGATCCAAAGCCAGGAGCCAGGTGCTTATCCTGGTCTCCCATGGGGTGCAGGGCTCAAGCACTTGGCCCATCCTCCACTGCCTTCCCGGGCCACAGCAGAGAGCTGGCCTGGAAGAGGGGCAACCAGGACAGAATCCGGTGCCCTGACCGGGACTAGAACCTGGTGTGCCGGCACCCGCAAGGCGGAGGATTAGCCTAGTGAGCCGCAGCGCCGGCCCCTAAATGACTTTTACTACAAAGCTGTCCCATTTGGGTCTCCTACAAATTTTACAAGAGAAAATGAAGATCTGAGTTTGTTGTCTAGTACATTGCAACCTAAATATGTTTCATTTTGTTCTTATAGTACATTATCTTTTCTATGACTTAATTATAAGAAAATACGGCAAAGCTCAATAAAAATCTGTTTTAATTAAAAATAATAAAATATCGAGCCAGCGCCGTGGCTCAATAGGCTAATCCTCCACCTTGCAGCGCTGGCACACTGGGTTCTAGTCCCGGTCGGGGCGCCGGATTCTGTCCCGGTTGCTTCTCTTCCAAGCCAGCTCTCTGCTGTGGCCAGGGAGTGCAGTGGAGGATGACCCAAGTGCTTGGGCCCTGCACCCCATGGGAGACCACGAAAAGCACCTGGCTCCTGGCTTTGGATCAGTGCAGCGCGCCGGCCGTGGTGGCCATTGGAGGGTGAACCAACGGCAAAGAAAGACCTTTCATCTCTCTCACTGTCCACTCTGCCTGTCAAAAATAATAATAATAATAAAATATCGAGCATTGTAGTTTTAAGGGCATACTTTAAGATTAATATATTTGTGGCCGGTGCCGTGGCTCAATAGGCTAATCCTCCACCTTGTGGTGCCGGCACACCGCGTTCTAGTCCCGGTCAGGGCACCAGATTCTATCCCGGTTGCCCCTCTTCCAGTCCAGCTTTCTGCTGTGGCCTGGGAGTGCAGTGGAGGATGGCCCAAGTGCTTGGGCCCTGCACCTGCATGGGAGACTGGGAGAAGCACCTGGCTCCCAGCTTCGGATCAGCGCAGTGCGCTGGCGGCAGTGGCCATTGGAGGGTGAACCTACGGTAAAGGAAGACCTTTCTCTCTCTGTCTCTCTGTCTCTCTCACTGTCCACTCTGCCTGTCAAAAATTAAAAAAAAAAAGATTAGTATATTTGTATATAATAAATATCCTGATTCATGAGATAAGCTTAGTTTTGGACTAACATAATAATTTTGAGACTTAGATTCATTTATTTTAGGATTTTCAAATTGCATTTAAAAATTGAAGTAATGTGTTTTAAAATTCATATGATTTCCTAAATTCCTCGAAATGAAAACTTTTGTTTTAAAAAAATACTTTGAATTCACTGGAGGTAGTGAAAAACATAGGACTTGGAGTTGAAGACTAGTACAGCTTTATCATATTTTTACTAATTATATCCCCTTGACCAGGTTAAACAAGGTCCTTGAATTTTAATTTTCTTATCTGCAGTATCCCTAAATATTAAGTCAAATAAACTTGTTGTTCTTTAATTATAACCCCTCCTTGTTCTTCACTCCTACTGCCACTCTTTTACGCCTTTTCTTCTTCCCTCATATTTTTTATGCTAAAGAAGCTATTATTGCCAGCTGAAACCATCTTAATCTTTTTTTTCTTCTGTTGATCAGTGCGTTTCTCATTTTTCAAAGATCTTTATTTTCAGATAAAATGTTCAGTGATGAGGAGGGGAGGGAAGGCAAGGAGCAAGAGCTCAGCTTGGTGAGGAAATAGTCTCCAGCTCTTTGACACATCAAAAAGAATTAGCCATTGGAAATAGGAGCTTAGCCCTTTGTTCTAAAAGAAATACAAAGAAGTTTGTGTGGTTGTCTACACATTCCTTTTGGTTGGGGAGCTTCTAGGGGAACCAAAATCTGAGCATCAGCTGCAGTTGGAGGCAGTAAGAGACCAGCAGGCATAAAAGCTTTGAAATTCGCAGGAGAGACGTATCTCCATTTACTTCTCACACTGTAAGGATCGTCTCTATTCTCATCTCATTTTTCTAACTCCTTGCTCTCATGCTTCTTTTCTTTGTTTTCTGAAGTGTGGAAATTGGTCTGTTTCTTGCCAATGTGCCATTATAATAATACATTAGAAACTTTAAACTCACTTTCCATGCTTTTGGGTAATATTGAGGTATTTGGTTATATAGTACAAAGAAATTAGAGCAATCTGAAGCCCAAGATTATACTGTGCTTCAGTGGAAGAAGTCCGGGCATTTTAAAAAATGTCAATACAACAGAATGAGTCTAAGTGCTAGCAGAATTGAAGATAACTAAAGGAACTTACCTACATTTGATTGTGACAGTGCTAAGACAAAACAAGACAAAAGATGAGTGAATTCTGCATTCTAAAGGAGTAGATTCCATAGATTCTGTTACAATAAAATATTATGAGAAAGAGGACAGAAATGAGTAACATTAGATTTCTTATTATTTATTACATTATGATGAGCATCTGGATATTGATATATTTATTGGTTTGGGGGCATAAATTTCAGACTTTTAAAATATTTTCTTTCTTAAAAATTATGTCTTTACAAAATTAATGAAAATGGAGGAAGGGAAGCAGATTCGGGGAGGGAGGTTGGGAGGGAGTATGATTATCTTCTGAGAACTGTACCTATGAAATGGATAAAATCTGTTCTCTTTATATTAATAAAAATTGTAAAAGTATTACTCTAGTGATAAATAGGGCTGCAAGATATGAAACCTGTCTTATCATTTCTTTAAGTAAGAGAATAACAATATTGTGAGGGATTTCCATTTTCTCAGTGCCTGGAAAATTTTCTATCTTCATGTCTTTTCTCATTTCTGATTCTGCTGTTTTTGTTTTTACCTTCTTTTCCTTTCCTCTTCTTCCTCTTTCCTTGATATCCTTTTTCACTTTTTCTTTCTTTAAAAAAATCATTGGTAAACCAAACTTTCACTTTATAACTGCTTAAGAGGGAGTTTAAACTTTCCAAAAATCACTAGTATTTTATGAAGATGCTGAATACCAAGACAGCAAGACCATAAAGTTCTTGAATATAAGAGGATAAAGAGTCGAAACAGAGAAAGGGAGCTTACTGTCAAGATAGATATTTCACTGTCTCCTCTTATCACTTGGAAATGTTGTACATAATATTAACTTTTTTTTAGAATAGGGCTGACTTATGGGGCTAAAATTGTGGCACAGCAGGTTAAGCCATTGCCAGCAATGCCGGCATCCCATATAGGAATGCTGGTTTGAGTTCTGCCTGCTCTGCTTCCCATCCAGCTCAATGCTAATGTGCCCAGGAAAGCAATAGAAAATGGCCCAAGTGCTTGGGCTTCTGCCACCTATGTGGGAGACGTGGGTGGAACTGAGGTTCCTTGTTTTGGCTTAGCCCATTCGTGGGTGTTGCAACCATCTGTTGTATGAGTCTATGGATGAAAGATCTCTCTCTGTTTCTGTCTTTCCTCTCTCTATCACTCTGCCTTTCAAATAAATAAGATAAATCTTTAAAAAAAAGAGAAGAGAATCAAGTTTGAAAACTGGAAGGATAAAGCTTCAAGAATAATGTATCAAGAGGGAATTTTTAATAATAAATGAGAAAATTTACTATCTCTTATTGGGAGCAGTCTTCCTCTCAACATTTTTGAGAGTGAGAGAGAGAAAAAAGGAAAAAATTCGCATCTGCTCATTCACTCTCCAAATGCCCACAATGGTAGGGGCCAAGCTAGCACTGCAGCTTAGAGCCAGAAGTATAATCCAGGTCTCCCATATGAGTGGCAGAAATCCAATTATTTGAGGCATCACTTTTGCCTCCTAGCATCTGTACTGATGAGTGGGAAGTGGAAGTCAAACCCAGGCAATCTCATGTCAGACACAAGCATTTTTACGCTAGGCAAACACTCTAAGAGGCTGTTTTGTTGTTGTTGTTGCTGTTTTAATACTTGATCATCTGCAGAAATTCAGGCTACAGTCCTCATGCATTAAAAAAAAAACTTAGGGCTAGTCTTCCTTTGTAAATCTAAGGTTCATAAAAGCCATATCTGTGAAAGAAGCACCATTATTCTCTACATGTTGATCAGAGTGTGCCAGGAAGTAACCTGTTTATATCAGGTTAGCATTGGAAATTGAGTCTTCAGTAATGTGGAAACTTCAGGGAAGATAAATTCAGATATAGAGCTTATATTTAAACACCTAATGTAGGAAATAAAAAGTGTAGAAACTTATAAAAACTACTTATAAAATCTGATAGTAGAGAGAGACATGGCAGGAAATAGAGTTATCTTCTTAGAATTTTACCTATGAAATACACGACATCTATTCTCTTTATTTTACTAAAAATTAAAATAGAGGATGTGGAAAGAATAGTAGGTAAGATGGTAAATAATGAAGGATAACTATCTAATTTTGGAATATGATACTGATTTAGATTATTTAAAGAAAAATTAAACAATATGCAGGTCAAAAATGTAAAATGAGTAAAACAAAATTCACCAGAAAATAAAACAGTTAAGAAAAAGAAAATGAATAACAAGGTGCAATAATCCATCACAATGCAGGTAAGTATTTCTAAAGCTGAAAGAACAATGTATAGTAAGCAGAAAATGTAAGATAAAGTAGTAAAATTAAGATAAAATTCATCAGCAATTAGCAACACATGTAAAATATAATAAATTCATCTGTTATGAGTCAGAAATCTTTTACATATTAATGAAAACAAAATTTTAAAGTTCCAAATGAAAGCAGGAAAAATACATAACAGGCAAATATCAATTAATGCAAAGGAGTTAGAGCACTATTAATATTAAATAATATAAAAATTAAGCCAGAAATTATTGTAAGGATATTGATGGATGGTATATCATTATGCCAGTATAAAGAAAAATGAAAAAAATATTAAACAGTTTTGAGCTTGTGTCTGTCTAATAGCAATGATAATATACAAAGGAAATTAGTATTAAATAGAAAAGTGAAATTAATAACTACATATTTAAAGTTTCTTCTTTAAAGTTAAAAATTTTATATCATGAAAAAGCATTAATAACAGTAGAGAACATTTGAATGATACAGTTAACAAATTTAAGATGATATTATTATCTATGGCTAAAATCTGTACCCAGCCAATAAAAGTGTTCTTTTCAAATTTGCTTACCAGGTCTCAAAAGTCCCAACACATTTAAAAAGAATCTATATCACACATATGTATGATAATGTAACAAAATTTGAAATAAGCAATAAACACACCAAAATAAAGCATTAAAGAATATTCTTTATAATTTACTAAGTCATGATGGAAATATGAAATAGTTAAACTGAAGTTCAAGAAATACACTGTCAATACTTGTGTAATGCAGCTTCAGCAGCATTTAGAAGCTACTTAAATTAGAAAATAAGAAAGTCTGAGAATTAAGAGTTTCATATAGCAGACCAGAAAAAAGAGCAAAAAGAAAGCCAAAGTAGAAAAAAATACTAAAACATGGATATGAATGAAATCAGAGATAATGAACCATTAGATATTCAACAAAGCCAAATAGGGTTTTAAATAAATTAATAATAATAACAATTATAATAATAATACTCTTTGGCATAATCATCACAGAAAGGAAGCATAAACCATTGATATTTTAAAAAATAAAGCCTATTTCTATATGATAATTAATTTCTTAAGTCATGAAATAATTTTAACAATGAATACAAATCAATTAAAATTTATTGTTTGCTCACTCTTGAATAACTTGTTAGTAAACTAGAAGCAGATATCTATAGTGTTTATTATGTATGCTCTTGTTAATCCTCTTCAAGTAGGGATATACAAAATTAATCTTTACCTTGTAAATTAATGCGTGTGGTCTACCACTGCAGACTTCATTTTCAACTTTATCCAAGCCTTTCCTAAAGTGAGCTATTAATTTGAAAAGTGTTGACTTCTTTGAGACATTCTTGCCGTAAAGTTTTTGTAAACCATCAATGATTTCACCATTCTTCTTCCCAAGCCTCACCATAAATTGAATGTTTGTTATTGCTTTAATTTTAGCAGAATTTGTGTTGCTCTTATAGAGACTCCTTCAAAACTAGTATCTTTTCTTAGTGCCTCAGACTGTATCCTAGTCAGACATAATATAACAAGTTTATTATGAGTTTATTTTCATACAAAAATTTTGTAATTCATGCGTAGGTTTTTCATAATATGCACTTTCTGCTAACATTTTGAAGCCCCCTCATATGAAATCAAATCAGATGACAGTTAAACAAAGAAATCCATAAAAGGACTTACCCAGAGAGTTGTTTGATGGTGCTAAAAAATGCACAGTAAAACATGGGGTGAATAATCAGAATTATGGATCCTTTAGTTTTTCATAACAGCTTCAATCATTGTTATCCCCTTCTCCAGAATTCAAATTCAGGCCTTGGTAATTATTGCTGAACTAGTGATGGTGACTAGAAACTATTCCCACCAGCTATCATTTATTCTTTCAATCTCCAGAGGATAATTTTCAGTAGATAGTGTAATATTCCTAAACACTTTATGCGCTTGTCATTTATCCCTGTCCTCATCTCTCTGCCTTCTTTCTTTCTCTTTTCTCTTCCCTTCTTTTATCTCAGTCATCAATTCTCTATATTTTTCCTTTCTTCCTGATAAATTTGAAATTTATCAACTGACAGACCATACTAAACCAACACTATTAGATTCTCTAACTGTTACTTAGTATTTATATGAATTGGTAAAGATTGTCTTTCCTCAAAGCAATAACAATCTAGAAAGGTGTTAATAATGGGAAATAAACTATTGACAAATTAAAGAATACTTACTGCAGTATCCTTTGGATCCTGAAAACAAAGAAAACTCAGTTTGAGTTTTCTACTTCTTGGTTTTGGTATCATTACAGAGGATTACTCAGCCAATACCCTCAAATACCCAAGCCAGCAAAAGAATGTAAGGAAAATCTCCTAATGTCTTAATTTGTGAATTGAATGGCATAAGAAACCAGCCAAAGGCTAAATAAGGTAAATAATTATATTGAAAAGAAATACACTGCATGGAGACATTTTAAAACAAAAGAATATATTAATTAAAATATGTTGAGGCCTCAGAAGGAATAGAAAAGTACTTAGCTGATTGGAAATTCAAATCCAATGAAAATATGTCATTATAATAAATATATAGGCATGTCTTTATTATAATTTAATGTGTATCTAATGGTCTAAACCTGGTTTCTTAGTGATTTCATGGAAATAACATTTCTAAAAGATCTGAAGACAAGACAAATTGCATTAAAATCTAGTCACAAAATTGTAAAACTGAATAGTAATTTTTGATAAACACTCTATAGTTTCACTAAATTATTTTTCATTTGACATCAGAGAAATCAGAAAAATAAGGAATTATTTGGCTTAATGCATTTTAAATTATAGTTCATTTAGGCTGTACACTAAAGATCTATAACCAGGAATTAATAATTAAGATATTGCTAAATTGTATAAAATAATTTCTAATTTCTTGAACTTTGGAGTCACACAATTCTAAGTTCATATCCAGGTTGAGTCACTTGTATCACAGTTGATCATGGAAGTTCATGCAGAAGATTCACTTCCATAAATTAGGAACACCAATGTATAATAAATTGATTTATTTAAGAACTGCTTATTAAGAACATCCCTAACTGTGAGAAGACTAGACCATAAGAAGGCAGGAGGAGAAGTGGGGATGTTGGTGATGAGGCGGTAGGAGTTGTTCAGGTGAGAGATGGTTGTGATTGTGCTTGGACTGTCCACAGTGGTGGAAAATGACCTAATTTCAAATATAATTTATAATACTGGTGATGGGATTTGCTGGTGGATTAGATAAAGAGAGTGAGAAATAAAAGTTAAAGATGACTCCAGGCTAGATGAGTTGAGAAATTGGGTGAATAAAGGTGGCAGTATCTGTGTGTAGAATAATCAGGACTTGGTCTGTGGACATCTTAAGAGTGGCAAGCCTTCAGATAGCTTCAGGGCCAGTGTACTATGATTTTATAGTTGGTTCAGTACACAAAGGATTATAACTGAAACCATCAAGTGTCCCAGATACAGAGGTGCATTCACCTGGAATGAGACTTTACTAATATGTTCCTCTCTAGGCTAGTCAGGGCCTTGGGCAGCCAGGGCAGGATTTATGGGTAGTTCATCTTCATGGAGCTGACAATGTTGCTTGCAGATATAAGTTAAAATATAATGAAAAATACCTACAGGAGTGACTAGCACATGGTTGGTACTAATATATGTTAATTTTCTTCCTTTGATATTTTGTGTAGTTTTATTTTGCCTGTATATGACCACTTAAATTTCTCACATTGAGGTAACTTCTTACACTGGTCAAATATGTTCTAATTATTAACTGAGGAGGTTTGTTTCAGGTTCTTGGCTTTAGCCTGGCCCAGCCCCATTGTGAGCATCTGGGGAGTGAACCAGTGGATGGACGATCTCTTCATATGCAGTAGAGAAACTGGACCCATATCTTTTACCACATACAGAAATCAGCGCAAAATGAATCAAAGACTTGAAGACAAAAACCTGAAACTGAAAAATTACTAGGAGAAACACTTCAAGACTTAAGTATAGGCATTTTTTGTAGATATGACCTCAAAAGGACAACTAGCAAAAGTAGATAAACATGCCTAAATCAAACTAATAATTTCTGTACATTAAAGGAAATAGTCAACAAACTGAAGAGCTGATATACAGAATGAGAGAAAGAATTTTCAAACTGATACCTGACAAGAGATTAATATTCAGAATATGGAATTCAAAAAAGCTCACAGCAGTAACAATAATAACAAAAAATAAATTCCATTTAAATATAAGGAGTAAACATGTGGTACAGTGAATTAAGCCACCACTTGGGATGCCTGCATCCCATACTGGAGTGCTGGTTCAGATCCCTGCTACTCTGCTTCTAATCCAGATTTCAGATAATGGTAGGCAGCAGATGATGGCTGCCACAATGTGGGAGAATGGGGTGGAGTTATTTGCATCTATCTTTTTTTTTTCAGACCTATTGTCATGTTTAATCCCAGTGAGAGTCAAGTTGGGAATTGATAATTTCTTTTTTTTTAACAGAAGATCAGTTTAGTATACTTTAAGTAAAGATTTCAACAGTTTGCACCCCCATAGAAACACAAAGTGAAATATATTGTTTGAGTACTCATTATAGCATTATGTCTCAATGTACAGCACATTAAGGACAGAGATCCTACATGAGGAGTAAGTGCACAGTGACTCCTGTTGTTGACTTTACAAATTGACACTCCTGTCTATGGCATCAGTAATCTCCCTATGCACCAGTCATGAGTTTCCAAGGCTATGGAAGCCCCTTGAGTTCTCTAACTCTTATCTTGTTTAGACAAGGTCATAGTCAAAGTGGAGGTTCTCTCCTCCCTTCAGAGAAAGGTACCTCCTTCTTTGAAGACCTGTTCTTTCCACTGGGATCTCACTCACAGAGATCTTTCATTTGGTGTTTTTTTTTTTTTTTTTTTGCCAGAGTGTCTTGGCTTTCCATGCCTCAAATACTCTCATGGGCTTTTCAGCCAGATCGGAATGGCTTTAGGGCTGATTCTGAGGCCAGAGTGCTGTTTAGGACATCTGCCATTCTATGAGTCTGCTGAGTATCTCGCTTCCCATGTTGGATCACTGTCCCCTTTATTTATTCTATCGGTTAGTATTAGCAGGTACTAGATTTGTTTATGTGCTCCCTTTGACTCTTAGTCCTTTCATTATGATCAATTGTGAACTGAAATTGATCACTTGGACTAGTGAGATGGCATTGGTACATGCCACCTTGATGGGATTGAATTGGAGTCCCCTGGTATGTTTCTAACTCTACCATTTGGGGCAAGTCAGCTTGAGCATGTCCCAAATTGTACATCTCTTCCCTCTCTTATTCCCACTCTTATGTTTAACAGGGATCACATTTCAGTTAAATTTCAACACTTAAGAATAACGGTATATTAATTACAAAATTAAACCAGTCATATTAAGTAGAACAGACAAAAAAAACTACTAAGAGGGATAATGTATTAAGTTGCTCATTAACAGTCAGGGCTATGCTGATCAAGTCACCATTTCTCATAGTGTCCATTTCAATTCAACAGGTTTCCTTTTTGGTGTTCAGTCAGTTGTCACCGATCAGGGAGAACGTATGGTATTTGTCCCTTTGGGACTGGCTTACTTCACTCAGCATGATGTGTTCCAGATTCCTCCATTTTGTTGCAAATGACTGGATTTCGTTGTTTCTTACTGCGGTATAGTATTCTAAAGAGTACATATCCCATAATTTCTTTATCCAGTCTACCGTTGATGTACATTTAGGTTGGTTCCAGGTATTGGCTATTGTGAACTGTGCTGCAATAAACATTAGGGTGCAGACTGCTTTTTTGTTTGCCAATTTAAATTCCTTTGGGTAAATTCCAAGGAGTGGGATGGCTGGGTCAAACGGTAGGGTTATCTTCAGGTTTCTGAGGAATCTCCAGACTGACTTCCACAGTGGCTTCACCAGTTTGCATTCCCACCAACAGTGGGTTAGTGTCCCTTTTTCCGCACATCCTCGCCAGCATCTGTTGTTGGTAGATTTCTGCATGTGAGCCATTCTAACCGGGGTGAGGAGAAACCTCATTGTGGTTTTGATTTGCATTTCCCTGATTGCTAGTGATCTTGAACATTTTTTCATGTGCCTGTTGGCCATTTGGATTTCCTCTTTTGAAAAATGTCTATTGAGGTCCTTGGCCCATCTCTTAAGTGGGTTGTTTGTTTTGATGTTGTGGAGTTTCTTGATTTCTTTGTAGATTCTGGTTATTAACCCTTTATCTGTTGCATAGTTTGCAAATATTTTTTCCCATTCTGTCGGTTGTCTCTTCACTCTCCTGACTGTTTCTTTTGCAGTACAGAAACTTCTCAATTTGATGCAATCCCAAATGTTAATTTTGGCTTTGACTGCCTGTGCCTCCCGGGTCTTTTCCAGAAATTCTTTGCCTGTGCCAATATCTTGAAGGGTTTCTCCAATGTTCTCTAGTAACTTGATGGTGTCAGGTCGTAGATTTAGGTCTTTAATCCATGTTGAGTGGATCTTTGTGTAAGGTGTAAGGTATGGGTCTTGCTTCATGATTCTGCACGTGGAAATCCAATTTTCCCAGCACCATTTATTGAATAGACTGTCCTTGCTCCAGGAATTGGTTTTAGATCCTTGATCAAATATAAGTTGGCTGTAGATGTTTGGGTTGATTTCTGGTGTTTCAGTTCTGTTCCATTGGTCTATCCATCTGTTTCTGTACCAGTACCATGCTGTTTTGATTACAACTGCCCTGTAGTATGTCCTGAAATCTGGTATTGAGATGCCTCCGGTTTTGTTTTTGTTGTACAAGATTACTTTAGCTATTCGAGGTCTCTTGTGCCTCCATATAAATTTCAGCAACATTTTTTCCAGATCTGAGAAGAAGGTCTTCGGTATCTTGATTGGTATTGCATTGAATCTATAAATTGCTTTTGGGAGAATGGACATTTTGATGATATTGATTCTTCCAATCCATGAGCATGGAAGATTTTTCCATTTCTTAGTATCCTCTTCTATTTCTTTCTTTAAGGTTTTGAAATTCTCATCGTAGAGATCTTTAACGTCCTTGGTTAAGTTCATTCCAAGGTATTTGATTGTTTTTGTAGCTATTGTGAATGGGATTGATCTTAGAAATTCTTCCTCAGCCATGGCATTGTCTGTGTATACAAAGGCTGTTGATTTTTGTGCATTGATTTATATCCTGCTACTTTGCCAAACTCTTCTATGAGTTCCAATAATCTCTTAG